TCGCACCTCCACCCCCAGAATTCCCCCGCCCGGGAATGCGGGGCTGGGGAATTCTGGGAGTTGAAGTCCAGACATCTTCAAGTTGCCAAGGTTGAAAAACACTGGTGTAAACGCTCAAATTTCCCAGCCTATTTTGGTATGCGGCTCCCCCACCCACCACCTCACCAAGCCCGAAACCCGCCTGCCAATCTGCCATCTGAATGGAGGCTTTCTCCAGGGAGGTTCCCAGGAGCGTGGGAACCACGCAGCAGTGCATGCTGGGTGCAGAGTCCGTTCCAGGACGAGACCCTCAACGCCTCCCCCCCTTCTCCCTGGTCTCTTCCAGGCTGAAGGACTGTTTGAGTGCCGTGAACAACACGGCTTCGCGCGTGGTGGGACAAGCCTTCTTCAACATCATCCAGGTGCCGTGTTTTGAGCTGGTCTACCAGGAATCGTGTGTGGAGTCTTACCTCTACGTCTGGTGAGTGGGGCTGCCCCCCTCCCCCTTGGCCAAGCGTTCCCCCCACCCCACCCCGGGTCTCCTCTGCAGAAGGGGTTTGGCCAATGCCCCACTGCTCTGCGCCCCTAACCAGCACTGGCATTTCCTCCCTGAGCAGGGGGTTGGACTGGATGACCTCCAAGATCCCTTCCGACTCAAATTATTCTGTTAAAAGGGGTTGGGCGTGCAAGGCTCCAGGAGATCCTCGACTTACGACTACAACGGAGCCCAAATTTTCCAGTGCCAAGGAAAGATAAGGGAGTCTTGCCTCATTTTACGCCCTTTCTTGACGTGGTAGTTAAGTGAAAATGACTGCAGTCGTTAAGTGAGTCACAGTCGTTAAGAGAATCCGGCTTCCCCGTGGACTTTGGTCGCAGGAACGTCGCAAAAGGGGATCACGTGACGCGCGCACATTGCAACGGTCACAAATATGAGTCAGTTGCCAAGAGTCTGGATTTGATCACGTGATCATGGGGATGCTGCAACGGCCGCTAAGTGTGAAAAGCAGCGCCAAGTCGCTTTTTTCAGCGCCCTTGTGACTCGAGTCACTAAAGGGATGGTTGTAAGTCGAGGACTACCTATTGACAGGGCCACAGACCCAGCATGGATGTGCTGTGGGTCAGCATGGAACCACGGACACTGCATGATCAGAAATTAAAATTGGATCGGTCGCTTTAAAGCAGCAGAGTCCGACCTTAGCAACTTAGGAGGCCCGTGGACTTCAACTCCCAGAATCCCAGTCAATTTGAAGACCTGCAGACTTCAATTCCCAGAATCCCACTGTCACCTTAATGACGTGGACTCCCAGAATTCCACAGTCAACTTTTGAGACCTGTAGACTTCAACTCCCAGAATTCCACAGTCAACTTTTAAGACTTGTGGACTTCCAACTCTGCTGGCTGGGGAATTCTGGGAGTTGAAGTCCACAAGTCTTAAAGCTGCAAGGTTGGAGACTCCTGTTTTAAAGCAATTCCCAGTTGGGACCCCTTGTGTTCTGCCTCTCCCTCTTGCATCCCCCCCCCTTGGAAAGGACCCCACCCAATTGACCCCTTTTCTTTCTCAGGTGCAAGAACTACAGCCGGACGGCCGTCGCGGTACTGAAAGACCCTGTGATGTTTGAATACGGAGGGGAGCAGATTGACGCCCCAGCCACCCGCCGGCCCCAACTGGCCTCTTCCACCACCACCACCACTTCTCTGTCCCCCAGGCCCCACTTCCATCCCTTGGGGAGCTCTCCCCCTCCCTGGAAGCCGAGCCAGGCCAGGCCGAGCCCCTCACCCCCAAAGCTTCGGAAGGGCAAAGGGAAGCACGGAGGGCGAGGCCGGAAAGGGAAGGGGGCGAAGCGGAAGCCGAAGAAGGGGCCCTGGGGCAAAACGGGCACCCCCCTCGCCCACCAGAAACCCCCTGGGGAGGGAGCCCCCCAGAAGCAGCTGCCTGTGCAGGAACTGGGGAAGGGGGACGCCCCACACAGGGACCCCGAAATGGGACAGGGGGACTCTTTCAATGCCATCTTGAGTGACGAGCCTGGCCGAGGGGGCAGCGAGCCGGTTGCGACCGGGCTGCCTGAGATCATGCAGACGGTCCCCCAAAAGGGCCTCCCCACCACTGGCCCCTCTGGCGCGAGGAAGAGGAGGAAGAAGAGGCGGAGGAACCTGCAGAAGGGAGAGGAAACCTTGACGAGGCGCCAGAAGCACTCCACGGCGGGCAGAGACTCGGAAGAGGGAGGGGGGGCAGCGTAAAGGCGGAGCAAAGTGCCCCCACCCCAAATGCTGGGCAGGAGGGCCCCCGTGGCTGAAACGCAAAACAGGGTTACGGAAACGAGAGGGGCTCAAAGGTGCTTCCCCCAAAAGGCTAGTAGGATGAACGGAAGAAGCTTCTTGGCTGAGAAGCGAAACGTTTTCAAGGGGGAAACCCCCTCCCCCCCCAAGAAAGCCCCCTTGGGGCGACTGCGAGATCTGGAGGACGGAGAATCTCCATAGACAAGAGAGGGGGAAGGGACCTCGGAGGCCTTCTAGTCCAACCCCCTGCTTGGCCAGGAGGCCCCGACGCAGAAGACCAGAGGTTCCCTTTGATGGAGAAGGAATAAAAGCTGATTTAACTCTGCACCCTCGCCCAGCCTCTTCCTTTTGCAAAACCCCTTTCGCGGGGGTCCCCCCTGAAGAGGTCAGTGACCCAGCCAGGGCACAGAGACCCCGGGCTGCTCAACCCGGCCCCCAATGGACCCCACAAGGCATGGGGATTGCTCGGGGGGGGGTCTTGACAGGGTCAGCACCTGCCCACCCACCTTCTTTGGAGGCAGCTGCCCCTTTTAATCCCCAGGGCCTGACCTGAGAGCTGATTCGTGGTGGGAGGGGCAGGGTTGCCCAAGGGACTCACCCCCACCTTTTAGGGTCTCCCCCCCCCCATGGGGCTCTGGTTTCAGAGTTTTCCACTACCCCCACCCCCCAATGTCCATTGCTGCCACTGAGAGCTTTCTTTTTTCCTTTTAGCAAAGACGCCTTCAGGTTCATGGAAGGAAAAGGGGGAAAAAAACCGGGGGGGGGACATAACACCCTCAGGAAAAGGGGGGGCAGAAGACACCCAGAAGCTCCCCTGGTTGTGAAATCTGGAGACTCACAAGAGATGCCAGGAACCCCCAGATTTCCCTCCTCTGCTTTTAGCGCCAATGCCCTGCCCGGTCTCTGCCCAGCCTCCTTGGGGCTCTGAACCCCAGAACAGCGGCTTCCTCGCTCCCCACCAGCTGGGCCAGCGGCCTTGGGCCCCCCTTCCGATCCCCCCCCCCGTCCTGCTTTGCTCAGAGACAATGAAAGGGGGGCTCCAGCCGGACGTGGGGCAGAGACAGCTTGCTGGCCCAGGAAGGGGTCATCCTAGCCCTCCGGGACCTCGGTCAGGGGGTAACAGCAGCACCAGGCAGCTTGACTGACCCCCCCGGGAGGGACCTGGAATCCAGGGAGGTAAAAGACACTGGGCAATGGGACGAGGGCCCCCATCCTGCTGCTGCTGCTGTGTTGGGGTCGGGGGTCTTTGCCCCTCAGTCGGGAGGGTCCCCGACCCCCTGAAGGGCATCCCGTCTTTGCTACAAGTGTTGAGAAGAATGGAGTAGCACCCTCTGCTTGGCCACTGGCTACGTCTGCCTTGCCCCCCCCCCNCGCCTTCCCTAAAGCTTTAAAGACCGGGCTGGGCTCCAGACCCTCGGGGGGCAACATGCACCAAGGGCCCCACTCTTGGCCCCTCCTAGGAACAGAGGCCTTGCTCTCTGGGTGCCCAAAGGAGACGTTTCCGTGATATTTTTAAATGTTTTTATTGCTTTTACTGCTTTAAAATGCTTTTAAGATTTTAATGATAACGTATGTTTTTGAATTGTGAACTGCCTAGAATTGTTTGTTGAGATGGGGGGGATAATCAAATCAAATCAAGTCAAATCAAATCAAGTCAAATCAAATTCAATTCAATTTATTATATTATATTTAAATCAAAATGAAAAGAAAAAAACCCCATCATTCTTGGCAGAGGCATGGAAGAAACTGTCCCCTGGGTTTCCTCTGCTCAGTATCGTTTACTGAGATGGGTGGCTATAGAAATCAATCAATCAACCAATCAACCAATCAACCAATCAAATAAACTCCATCATTCCAGGCGGAAGCAGGGAAGGGGCTCAGATTCAGCTGCTCAACAGAGGAAACAGCCCCCGCAGGGAGGATGCCTGGGGAATGTGGGGAGGGGGCACCTGGGCCTTACCTGGCACAGGGTCCTGGTAGTGATCCTTGAACCACCGGAAAAGGCCGTTGACCGTGGGGAAGATGTGGTTGCGGTACCGGAACCCCTCTGGCGTCACCGTCACATACTCGATTCTGCGGCGAGAGAATTATGTGGCAACTCTGGCCAACGCGGATGGTTGGGTCAGTCCTGGGGAGGGGGGGGAGGGGAGAGCGGGACACCCACCCACCCCTTCTGATTCAGGCTTGTCTGTTGGCCAGAAGACGCCAGAAAGGTAGAGGCTGGGGGGTGGGTGGGGAGAGTGAGATAACCCCCAGGGTGCATGGCTCCCGAGAGAACAACTCTGCCTGTGACCGACTCTCCAGCAATTTTTTGGGGGGGAGGGGAAGGGGGACCTGGGGAAGGGGCTTCCTTCCCTAAGCAGCAGGACCTCCACTCTGTGTGTAGGAGGCCCTGGGGTCAACCCTGCAAAAGCCCCCTGGCTGAGCCCAGGACCCGCCGAAGAGCCTGACCGCCTGGCCCGAGGGAGGGAGGGAGGGGGGGGAGGGAAGACCCACCTCGGCTTGCCCCGTGGCTGGTAGCCCAGCAGGAACTTGCCCGGAAGGTCCTTGCAGGAGCAGACGAAGTAGGGGATGAAGGTGGGCTTCTCCTTCTTGGTTTTAACCAGCAGCTCCTCCAGTTTCTGAGGAGACGGAGGAGAGAGAGGAGGGAGGGATTGGCGTTGGCCCTGAGCGGAGGCTTCCCACCTCCCTGGGAGACCTCACGGTGTCCGTTCGAAAGACGGGGTGTCACCCTCAGGACCCACAGAATTCCCTTCCTGCGCCCAAGGCGACCTGTCAGGCCTGTAGCCATCTTTTCTTTTGGATCTCAGGCCTGCCACACTTTCTATTATTCTACTATGCTTTTTTCGATGGTGGGAAAATATGGAGTTAGATGATAGGTATAGCAATAGCAATAGCAGATTTTTATATACCGCTTCATAGGGCTTNTGCACAGTATATAAGTGATTGTATAAAATGAAAATGAAAATGAAATAAAAATATCCAGTCAATAAACCACATCCACGGACACCAACCAGGATTCTAGAAGGAGAAAACTCCTTCATTTCACAACACAGGGACAGATTGAAGCATCGTTTCCGCTGAGAAACAAGCCACGTCCTTGAAGGGCAGAGAATTCCTGGCTTCCAGACAAACCGGCCGGCAGGGATGTCACCTCGCCCCAGCTCTTGCTTTTGAGCCCCTTCTTCCCTGGAGGAGCCCCTTCCCTGGCAGCTTAACTCCCCCTTCTCCCCCCAAATAGGAAAATAGCCCCCCCACCCTGCTCTCCTGCCCGCTTTCAAAGCAGTTGGGCTCTTGGTGGGAGGGGGGAGTCCTGGCCTGCAGTTGATACAGCCCTGAGTGCCTTTCCCTCTTCTCCTCCCAATAAACCTGGGGCATTAAGTGGGCAGGATTTGGGCAAAAGGTCTCTGGGAATCCCAAAGGGACTCCCCCCCCCCCCCAAGAGGCAACTGGACCTTTTGCTCCTCATCCCAGAAGCTTCTTCAGCTCTGACCGGATGGAGGGGAAGGGAAGAATCCATACTCCTTGCAGACAGCTGGTCCTTTGCCTCCTTTTTAAGAGGGTCGTTGAGGCCACCTGGAGGTTTGTCACCTGAGTGGGGCAAATGGGGGGGGGGTGGAGCCTTCTCGGAACTGCTGGAAGGACTGTTGTAGAAGGCTCCACCCCCCTTTCCACCACTCAGGTGACCCTGAGGACTCAGGGACCCTCTCAAAGGATGCCAATGACCGGCTGTCTGCAAGGAGTGCGAATCCTTCCCTTTGCCCCCCCATCCAGGCAGAGCAGAAAAAGCTTCTGGGATGAGAAGGGAAACACCTTCAAAGAAGAAACAAGGAAGCCCAGTTGCCTCTTGGGGAAAGGGGGGGGGGGAAGCCCCTTTGGGACAACTGTGACCCGGGTGACGGAGAAGCTCCACAGAGGCTCGCTTGTCCTGCTGCCCAGCTGAGGTGGGGCCCTGCCAGGCGACTCGGGTGGGGCCCAGACTCACGTGATAGGCGCTGCTGCCTCCGCCGCTGCCCCCGTAGCCGTACTGACTGGAAGCCCACTGCGCAGGGGTGGCGTTGGCGTTCTGCCCCTGCCCCGTCACAGCAGCGATGGCGCTGAACATCTGGGAGGTCATGTTTTGGGGCAAGGCGTTGACGGCTCGGGTCAGGTCTGCCGAGACAGAGGGAGGGAGGGAGGCGGTTAGAAGAGCCCTCCCAGCACCCTCGCGCCGGGTGTGTGTGTTTCGGTTGTGCTACGGGGGCCTCTGCAGACTCACCTGCGAGGTTGATGTTGGCCGGAGTGGCGTTGATGGAGGCGGGCGTCCGGGTTCGGCTGCTGCTGCTGGGAGTGACACCTGGACAGGGAGGGGGGGAAGAGAGGGAGGACGCCAGGTGAGAAACAGGGCAGAACTTCAGGAAGCTGCCCTCTCTATCGGGATTGGCACCATGGGAGGAAGGGAAGGGAGGGGCCCTGAGCTGTAGGCAGGCTTGAAGGAGAGGGGGGGGGGAGCTCTTCGCAGGCAGTGGACCACCCAGGATGTGGCCTCTGGGCTTTGTAGTCTTGTGGACTACAGGCTAGAAATAACATCATCATCACCACCTTCTTCTTGGTGACAATCCCTCGAGCAGAGGAAGGAGCTCAGGGACCCTTGGAAGGGGCAGCTGCTGGGCAGGGAACCAGGCTCCCNAAACACTGTCCTAACCACTGCTGGGGAATTCTGGGAGTTGAAGTCCAGACATCTTCAAGTTGCCAAGGTTGAGAAACACTGGACTAGATGACCTCCAGGTCTCTTCCAGCCCTGGATTATCCTCTGAAGCTGCGCCTAATGCCAGGTTTGTAGTCCTTCCTTCCTCTCCTTTTTCCCTTGGTCCCTCCCTCCCTCCCTTTCTTTCTTTCTCCCTTTCTCTCTCCCTTTCTCAATACCCCCCACCCCGCCGTTTTTGGCCTAGTAGGCTTCAGGGAAGCCTGCTGGGAGCAAAAACGGACCCCATCCCCACTCCTACCTTTCCGGAGAACCTGTAGTAAAAAAAAATGCTTAAAAAGAAAATTCCGGAGATCAGCTGCACCTACCGATGTAGAAGGTTTCGGGGGTCTCCTTGGTCAACATGTTGAAGACCTCCTCAGAATTGGGGGAGCGATAGGGGCTCCTCAGGTCCTTGTAGCGGCAGCTCAGCTCCGCTCGGATGTCGTACAGGGTGATGTGCTTGTCGCCGTAGCCCTGGAAAGACGCGGGGGGGAGGGGGGGGGGCGTGAGTGACTGGAGGGGAACCCAGGAAGGAAGACCCTTTCCCCTGGGGGGGTGGGGAGCGCCCGCTGACCTGTCTCTCCAGCTCCTCTGCGAAGGCGTCAAGATCCAGGTCCTTCAGGCGTTCTGGGTTTTCCAGGATCTCCTCCAGGGCCCCGGCTGGGTTTGCGTCTTCGGCCGACTCGTCGTATTCCAGAGCGTCGACTGCCATCTTCCGGGCCCATTCGTAGGTTTCTGGGTGGACCCTGGAGCCGTCCAGGACCTCGATGTAGGAGTCCGTGCTGAGAACACAGAATCAGAGGCAAAGTCAGGGGAGGTGGATTTATCTCGCAGGGCGTTATCAGAACACGGCACTATGCGCATGAAATCCCACCAGAAGAGCATGGAAAAGGTCTATCAAAACACAATCGTTTTAAAAATGTTCATGCCGTGGATGTTGGAGGTGGTGATCCTTTGGGGGCTGCACGCAATGGAATTTCATTTTAATGGATGCCGATTACGGTGCGTTCAAAGAAGCCTATTGTCTATGTTAAGACTATTTTGCAGTCTGTTCTGTATTGCTATTCTATTCCATTCCATTCTATGCACAGTACGAGTGATGAATAAAACTATGAAGAAAATTAGATTTTGTAGGAGCAGTTACTAGATTGGCTATTCTAGAAGAGAACAGAAATAGAATAGAAATAGAATAGGAATTAGAATGGGAAAGAATAGAATNCTCACCCCGCCCGAATGTTGAGTGAATGTTGTGTTTTTATGACCAATTTCCTTTTAATCACGATTCTTTCTTTTTAAGTCTTGTCTTGCACTCCCTTCCCTTTATTGTTGTAAGCCGCCCTGAGTCCCCTCAGGGAAAAGGGCGGCATATAAATTTGCAATAAAACTAAAACTAAAAACTAAACTAATCTTGAACTTTTAACTGGGTGGGGAAAACCGGGAAGCTTTCAGATTCGGGTTTCCCCAGATGTGCCAACGTGGCTCTCTTCATCAACTGGGACTTTGAGGAATCCTTTGCCTCGGACTCTGATTTAATTCTGGAGGCTATTTGGGACCCTGACACGACCATCATCAGCAAAGCCCACAAATTCCAATCTCTTGGATTGGAAGAGGGTTAAGCAGCTGCTGCCCCCAGAACTGAACCCAGCAGTGAAGACCAGGCTGGTGTTTGGGACCTGGGCGGTGGGAGGACCCCGCTCTGCTCCCCCGAGAAGCACCAGAAGGGGAGAGTGGAGGTCATCTACTGCAGCCCAAACCCAGAAGGAAACGGACAGCAGCCCTTCCGACCCACAAAGCCTCTTCAAAGGTCATCAGCTGAGGCCTTTTCACCTCACTGGACGAAGAGAGCCGCAGCTCAGCTGGTGCCCTTTGGCCAAAGGGAGGCTGGGATGGGTGTAATATATTCACAGGCCTTCACCAGAGGGGACAAGTGGGGGTTTATGCCCCGGGGCTTTTTTTCAATGCACTTTTTTTGCTTAACATGCCGTCTCTTTTGTTTCTTCTTCATTCTTCTTTTAGGTATATTTTTTTTTAGAGTTTCGTCTTTCAACTTCTTTTGGAATGAAATAACGTTACGTGTCAAAGGGGACCCCTTGTTAAAAGAAGGGACTCTGCCCAGCCCTCACCCCCCCCCCCCCCCCCGCTCACCTTCCGGTCTCCTCCGTTGCAATCTTGGTAGTATTTATGGCCCAGCAAATCGCGGGCGAAGGAGGCCATGGGCTGGACGTAGCGAGCCACGATCTCATCTAGGTCCTCAAACTCCTGGGGAAGGAAAGGGAGGAGGGGAGGGGGTCTCAGAGGGGAGGACCCTGGTAAGGTCTTGCCTCTGCTGTCCCCTCTGGGAAGCAGCACCCTCGAAACAGGCAGCCATTCAAAAGGGACTTTCCTTGTGATAGCAAGGAGAACGGGCAGGATCTAACGTTCCCGATCAAAAACGTGAGGTCGAAAGTTCCCTTCCCTGTATCCAGTTGGAAGCGAGACAATCCCCAGGTATGAAGTCGTTGTGGGAACTTCAAGCTGAGGAAGTTCTTCTCAGCTGACCCCAGACAAAACAGAGGGCCCCAGGCTCATTTCCCCCCCTCCCCCAATTCCCAGGAAGGTGCATCAAAGGAAAGACCAGGAATAGGTCACAAACTGTCACTGGGTTCCCCCTCTTGTCAAAACCTCAGAATGGCAGCGCCCCGATAGGGATCTATGGGGACCTGGCCCCTCCCCTCCCTCCCCCCAGGCGTGCTCAGCCCACTCACCTCGGTGTTGATCCAGAGGGTGGAGCCCAGGCTGAAGGCGTTCTCCTTGCCCTCCTCTCGCACGTCCACATGCTGGTAGATGTTGTCGCACACCTTCCAGGTGACGGTCAGGTGATTCTCCCCTTTGCTGCTGGGCCGGATGATGACGTCCCCTTGGTCCATGGTCTCCATCATCTTCTCGGCCTGCTTGAAGTTGATGTTGTGGAAGGAGGGGTGCGCGATCACCCGCTTGATGTACGCTGTGGGGAGAAGAGGAGGCCGGGCTGCCGTTGGCATCTGCTCTCTGGTGGGTGGTCTGCCTGCCCTCCCTCCCTGCCTGCCCTCCTTCCCCCCAGGCCCCACCCTGGGGGGCTCACTTGTCCGCTGCTGCTTCCTCTTCAGCTCCTCCTCCTGCTTGTGGTCGGCGGCCTCGTCCGCAAAGTCGTAGTGGGCGTCCTTGGGCAGCTTCCACTCGTTGCTCCTGTCCATGAGGTCGGAGGTTCTGCAGGTCAGGTCGGCACTGAACTTCTCAATGTCGATCTTCATGATCCTGCAGTGGACGGTCATCCCCACCTGCCGAGGAATCAGGAGATGGGCAAAGAGGTCTGGCTGGGCATGCGGCCGAGGGGAGTCCAGCGCTGCTGAGTCTTGGGCGGAGGAGGAGGAGGAGGGGGGCATGCGGGATCGATTTCACCATCGAAAGACCCTGATGGTGGCCCAGAGCGTCTTCTGCAGTCACCAACCCTCCCCTTGGAGGGAACAATGGCCTCGTTCAGGGAGAAGCGGCTCCGTGGGGCCCTTCAGGGCCAGAAGAGGCCCTGGTCTCTCATCTATGACGTCGTGGGGTCTTGATGTGAGGAGCAGAGCCCCCCTTGTCCTGCTGGAGGGTTTCAACCAAGTCCCCGTGCGGACACCCTGCAAGGGCTGGGCCTCAGGGGTCCCTCTTCCTGTTGAGTGGGTGGGCCTAGTGGCTGAGGCGCCAGGAGAGACGGAGCCCCCGGAGCCCCCTCCTCCATTCCACTTAAGGGACACATCAAAGCTTCTGCGTGCAGGACAACATCCGGTGTTTTTGGAGCAGAGGATGGAGAATAGGCCTCTGTCAATCCCAGTGGGGAGCCTCCGTGCCAGATGTTTGGCAGAGGTGGAAGGAGAGAAACAGGCTGAGACTTAGCCGGCGGAACTGCCTGCCTCCAGAAGCTGTGGGGGAGCCATCGCTGGAGGGTTTGAAGAGGAGAGTGGATAGCAATGGTGCAGGATCGACTGCTTGAGCAGGGGGTTGGACTAGAAGACCTCCAAGGTCCCTCCCCGCTTCTGTAAAGTCAGAGGGGCTCCTTCTGCTTCAGAAGCAGATGGATCCAAAACCAGGCTGGCTTTGCCTTCCAGCAGCCCAACAGGGAGCAGGGACTTTGGGCCCTCGGCTCCTGCTGAAGCCGCGGGGGAAGGCGAGGTGTTGCCCAACCCAGCCTGGGCACCAGCTGTGAGGCCTCTCAAAGGGGTCTCTGGCCTTGCAGAGTCTGAGGCTGCCAATTGCCCAGCCCCCCTCCCTCCCTCCCAGGCTCCAATCTCCAGCCAAGAGGCTGCACAAACATCCAGCTCTCTTGAGGCCTGGGGGAATGCGCCCCACTAAAGAGGTGGGTATTTTGCTTTCCCGTCTTCCACGCTGGAGTTCTGCTCCCAGCCGCGAAACGAGCCCTTTAAACAAACGGGCGGTCACTGCCCACTAATTACTTTGGCCAGCTTCCCACCGCCTGGCCAAAGGGCAGAGTGGCGGCATGCTGGGAAGAGGGGACAGGTGTGGCGGTAAAACAATGCCAGCTCCCTGCTCAGTGGGAAGACCCGGTGCCAGCCCGGTGCACGTCAGGGGCCGGGTAGAGGCCCCGGACATCTTCACCGGCCGTTGACCCAAGCCGCCTGGGCTGAACTCCCCATAACCTACCTTGACTCTTTCTTCCGGCCGTTTGACCACCTTGTCGCTGAGGAATTTGGTGGGGATAAAACCGGTGACGCCGTTGTCCAGGCGGGTTTTCACCCCGATGGCCTGGCCAGGGCAGGAGCCGCTGTCAAAATGGTTCCAGACCTGGACAGAGGAGGAGGGGGGGGGGTCGCATGAGCCAACCACAGGAGTCCTCCTAGAGAATGCAGCACCTTCTGGAGGGTGGCAAGGGGGACCCCAGGAAGCCCCCCCCATCCCCACAGGGGAAAGAGGCTGAGCCTCTGGAAAGAGCGCAGAGAAGAGCCACGAGGGAAATTAGGGGGCTGGAGGCTGAATCATACGAAGAGCCAAGGAATTAAGAGAGCGCTGGNGAATAGAAATAGAATAGGAATTAGAATGGGAATACAATTACAAGACAGAACAGACTACAAATTTGGGCTCAATTTCCCTCCTAAATCAAGGACTGCCTGTATTTTAATGGTTGGGGTTGTTCTTATTTCTTGTCCTCCACCTACGGCCTAAAGAGCAGAATACACAGTGAAAAAGTTGAGCAGACCAACCGGGCCTGCTGTGACCCTCATCCCCTGGCACTGGGGGGGTTGGAGCCCCAGAGGCTTCCTCGGGGACTCAGCTGAGCCGAGGACCTGCCAGGAGGCCTTGCTGGCTCAACACCCCACCCCCTCCCGGGGCACCCACCTGTCTCCCAGGGAGGCCGTGTCGATCTTGATGAAGCCAGCGCAGTTGATGAAGACTTTGGGCCCCATGTGGCACATGGTGACCAGCTGGGTCCGGTTCTCCAGCCGGGTGTTGTTCTGCTTCAGGATCTGAAAGAGGAGACAGGGCGGGCGGGTGGTCAGAGGCCGGGGAGGACCGAGGGGGCCGCTTGGGGGGTTAAGGAGAAGGGTCTGGGAAGGCAGCCCCCACCCACTTTGTCCCCCTCTTCCTCTGACTGTTTTTCAACAGACATGCAGGGAGTCCTCGACTTACAGCCATTCACTTACTGACCATTTAATAATCCTGAAAACAGTGACTGACAACCAGTTCTTGCGCTGCGGCATCCTCACAGTCACCGGATCAAAAATCTGGGCAACGTTCACCACGCATTGACTGACTTAACGCCCTGGTGATTCACTGAGCAACGGTGGCAGGAACGGTTGTAAAACGGAGCAAAACGCATTCGCTGTTCCGGTTAGCAACGGACATTTTTTGGCTCGGTTGGCTCAACCTTTGCCGCCATTGTTCAGTGAATCACTGCAATTGTAAAGTCCGGAATTGGACTTTAAGCGAATCCGGCATCCCTATCGAATCTGCTTGTCGGAAGGTCACAAAAAGGGCATCCCGTGACCTCCCCCATCCCCCAGGACACTGCAACCGTCGTAAGTATGAGCCAGTTGCAAAAGCATCTGAATTTCGATCAGGGGACTGTGGGACTCCTGCAACAGCCGTAAGCGTGAAAAACGGCCATTCAGTGCCGTTGTAACTTGGAGATGACTGTAAGTCGAGGACCTCCTGTAAAAGGGGGATCTCCCCTGCCCTCCCCAACTCAGGGTTGCCCCCCCTGCGCGCGCGCGCTGAGCAGAGCCCTACCTACCTTCAGCAGGTGGGCTCCCTTGCGGGGTCCCAGGCCGCAGACGAACTGCAGGAGGGCCTGGCTGTGGGGGTGGGCGATGGCCCGGTTGACGTCCACGCCCACCTCGTTTACCCGGTTGATGAACTCGCAGTAGAGGGAGCCCAGCAGCTCTTCCTTCNTTGCAGGAGACAATTAGTTCGCTTCATTGGTTGGTGACTCTCCGAGGCTCCTTGCCAAGTTTTGCAGAGATCGGCCTGGCAGCTCTCCAAGCCAGATAAGGTCTGTGACTGGAAATCCTCCCTTGAAAGACTTTGCTGGATTTGAAGGATCAGAATTCACAGTCAATTAATAAAAGGTTTTCTTGCCGGGATCAGAGGTTTGCTTCATGCTCTTGGGAAGCCTCAGTCAGAACAACCTGTACAATTCAATGGTCAATTTTTTAAATATTTTATTCCTTGCTTCTTGGTGCAGGTTAACCTCGTGTTGGACGAAGGGCGATCTCTGGGTCTCATGATTCGAGGGGGGTCCGAATACGCCCTCGGGATTTACATCACAGGGGTGGACAAGGATTCGGAAGCAGAAAACACTGGCTTGAAAGTAAGTTCATCTGAGATTCTGGGGTGAGTCCAGGAGGGGCCCCCATTTTGCAGAAATAAAGATGTGTAGATATAATTTCTGAGATCTATCAGGCGACGCTTCCTTCATGTTAAACTTTTTTTAAAAAAATTAATTTTATTAAGATTATAATTGAAAAGGTGAAAACTAATAAAAGTTCCAAAAGTGCAGAAGAAAGGAAAAGGTAAAAAAGAAAGAATAAAGAAGTATCTTCCCACCTCATCATAACCAGAACAAACAATTTTAGTAAATTATAGCTATCTCTTAAGAAACAACAAATGTGCTATTTTTCCTATAACTCATCTCTTAATTATTAACAAAATCTTAAAGCTTTGTTGCTCATTCCTAATCAGCAAAAATCCATTAAGAGCTACCAGAAACAACTATGTAACTATTTCAACCTTGATCAAACAAACCAACTTTATATTCCTTCCCTGCACTTTTAACAATCTTAGATTTTAATCCCAGGAAATAATGTCCTGGAACTTGATTTCTTTTTGCCTTGATAGATCTCTTTGTAAATCCAGATTTAATACTTGTATGTAGTACATGATCAAGAGTAGAAGCAACTTTTCTCAACTCCACCTCTTATAGGAAATAAATGCAACCAAAGCATCTCAGACACTTTGTGAATAAGGTAGAATATCAAAAGTTCTTTTTTCCATGGAGGAAAGAAACTTCTAAAACCATTCTGGACAGTCCTAATTAGAAATGTTGTTTTTGTTCTTTTGCCAGATCCTCAACCAGATTAGCAGGGATGTCACAAAGAAGATGCCATCTCTGTAACTTTCACTTTAGTCTGAGCTAATGCCCATCTTCCTTAAATGAGGATGGAGGTCTCACTCATCCTATTTTTCTTTTCCCCTGTTTCAAGGTCACTTCCAGCCACTCAAAAGTATCCACCACCAATCTTCATATTTTGTCAGAAAGTGACAAAATGCAGAGATGGCAATTCTCCATTTCCCCCCAATGGTGATTTTCCGTTCATTTGCTCATTAGTCTCCCATCCCTTCCTCTCGTCAGCTGCCCAAAAGGAAATTTCTCCTTGCTGTCCTGGATCGCAAAAAAAATGCTTGTTTTTGTAAAATGCCAAAGGGTTTCAAGCAGGCAACAGAACATTAGGCTCAGGAAAAGAGATGTGAAATGATAACTTTGGGTGTATAATAAAAGAACATTATTTCCTACAAATAAATGGCTTCAGGTCTTCAGCAGATGGTTATCATTCCATCTGCTCCTTCGTCCCCGTACACGTAGAAAATAATAACTCTCCCAAGAGTAATGCCTGGATTTCAATGTCATACTTCTACCTGAAACCAGTCAGGCATGAATAAGTAGACTTGCATACCTATCGTATTTTTCGGAGTATAAGACGCACCTAGCTTTTGGGGAGGAAAACAAGGGAGGGGAAATCTGCTTCTGCCTCCCAGCAATTTGCCTCNTGTTGTAAGCCGCCCTGAGTCCCCTCAGGGAAAAGGGCGGCATATAAATTTGCAATAAAACTAAAAAAACTAAACTAAACTTCCCTAGACTCCAGGACTGGCCCATGTCCCTCCCCAACTTCCTCACTGTCCGAATCTGCTGCCACCTCCGCTGACAGGCCACAAAACATACCTTGACTTTTTTTGACATCACCCAAGATCTGCCCCTACCCATTTGAAAGAAGCATGTGGTTAAAATAGGACTTGAGAGCCGTACAGACCATCTACAGTGGTTTGGAAAAAAGCCAAAGCTTGGTTTGTAGGCAGCTAATACGATCGTTATCTATGCAATCTACGCTTCCAACTTTATTCCCCATCATCACCAACCCGGTAAAACGTATCTCTCTCCCTTAAAAAAAATTTGCTTTTTTGTCCCATTAATAATGCAAAACGGTTGGTGGGTTTTTCAAAACAATGAAACCGTCCCAGCGTTCCGGATCTGATTAAACTTATCAAAGCCTGCTTTTAGAATATTTGCTGGTTGTTAATTTCCCTAATTAATATGGAATTAACGCTCTTTTCCATTTCCTGATTTGCAAGGAAGGATCCCCGCTCCCTGCAAATGTATAATTTTCTCCTTCTCTCTCTCTCCCTCTCCGGCTTGGTTAATTGCTCCCCAGACTAAAGAGGGGGGAAAAAAGAATTCATTCCCTTTAAGTTATCTGATTTTTTTTTTTTGGCAGTATCTCGTCTTACAGCCCGAAGCAATGTTTGTTCAATAAGGCCTCTACTCTAATATTTCAAAAGTGAGAAGGGAGGTGTGGGCTGGTTCTACCTGTGTCTGCTGGAGCTGCACTTAGCCTGAATTTTAATCAAAACGATATCTGCTTTTTTCCCCCTCTCTTGGGGGGTGCTTTAGCAATATGAACCTGGCTGCAGAATCAAAGCAATTAAAACTTGGCCGTGCCAACCTGGTTGAGTCTCTCCCTCTTTCTCAGGAGTTAGTTTTCAAGGAATAGCAATAACACTTAGACCAGGGGTCCTCAAACTTTTTAAACAGGGGCCTGATTCAGACTGTTAGGGGAGGGGCCCTGGAGCGGCTGGGTGGGTGTGGCTAGGTGGTCACGTGACTGGGTGGGCGTGGCCAATTTATCAGTCCATTTTGCCTTTGACCTTGCTGCACTTGCCCCTCCCCTACTCACTCACTGGCCCTGTTTAAAAAGTTNGAACTGACCAGTGACAGGGAGACACAGCAGGGGGATGAAAGAGCCACATGCGGCTCCAGAGCCACAAGTTGCTGACCCCTGGACTAAGCACTCACAATGAAAGTACCTGGGTCCCCAACAAAGTTGGGAACTCACTGTAGCTTGAAAATGGCTACATTCTGGCTTCCAAGACAGACCAGGCAACAGAGCTTTTATAACCACGCTTTGATTTACACCACCACAATTTGAGTGGTGGTGTAAATCCAATTAGTAAATTGGAACAGCCCAAACCACTCATCGTCTCTGAATGAATAGATGGAATTATTCCCATGTCCATTAACCATCTGGTTTTATATCCTTATTGGTAGAATTGAACAATTGATGGGAGGAAAGTAGCTTTTTCTCCCCAGCTACTATTAACTCAGTAATATAAAAACATCAGTAGTACTGGAAAAAATGCACTGAAATATTTACGTGTGCAACATAAATGCTGAATTTTCACCATGTCTGACCTTTGTTAATGATTTGCACACTAAGAAATACACCTAAGTTTAAAATCTAATGTTTAAGTGTCTGTTTTGCAAGAAAAGGTAAAAGCAAGCGGAAGACATGGAAATATTAGCATTTAGAAAATGCAAAGGTACCTGGATGAAATTGACCAAGGGTATAAGAATCAACCATTTGTTGTTTGATTGTAACTAATTACAATCAATAAAGGGACGCTCAGTGGCTAAAAAGCTGAGCTTGTCGATCAGAAAGGTCGGCAGTTCAGCGGTTCGAATCCCTAGCTCTGTGTAATGGAGTGAGCTCCCGTTACTCGCCTCAGCTTCTGCCAACCTAGCAGTTTGAAAGCACATGAAAAATGCAAGTAGAAAAATAGGGACCACATTTGGTGGGAAGGTAACAGCGTTCCATGTGCCTTTGGCGTTTAGTCATGCCGGCCACATGACCACGGAGACATCATTGGACAGTGCTGGCTCTCCAGCTTTGAAACGGAGATGAGCACCGCCCCCCAGAGTCGGGAATGACTAGCACATATGTGCAAGGGGGACCTTTACTTTTACCTTAATCACAATCAATATACTGGCATGTAATTACGTGCCTGAAACCTTAGATAAGATTAGACAAGGGAGTTAAGATTTTGGAATTCTTTCTAAATCTTGCAAGCTTTCAGTAAGAAAGTTTATTGATCTGGCAAAAAGTTTTTAAAAGATTGGTTTAATTTGGTACTTACAATTATTTTTTTATACCTGCTATGTTGGGCTTCAAAAACTTTTAATGTCGAGGTAAAGGTTCCCCACACACATACGTGCTAGTCGTTCCCGACTCTAGGGGGCAGTGCTCATCTCCATTTCAAAGCCGAAGAGCCAGTGGTGTCCGAAGACGTCTCCATGGTCATGTGGCCGGCACATCTAAACACCGAAGGTGCATGGAACGCTGTTACCTTTCCACCAAAGGTTCCTATTTTTCTACTTGCATTTTATACGTTCTTTCGAACTGCTAGGCTGGCAGAAGCTGGGACAAGTAATGGGGGCTCACTCCATTACATGGCGCTAGGGATTCAAACCGCCAAATTGCCGACATTTCAGATCTACAATCTCAGCCACTGAGCCACAAGCCGACGTTGGAAAGAAATTCAGCAAGAATATTCGAAATTAACTTGGTTTGATAAGGGCACCATGCCTTAGCACAACCTACATATATTGGCAATTGACTCATATTTATGACGCCCCAGGGTCACATGATCCCCTTTTGTGACAGGCAAAGTCCACGGGGCAATCCAAATTCACCGAACGACCTTTTTAGTAACTTCACCTCTGCAGCGATTCCCTTACCAACGGTGGGAAGAAAGGTCGCAAAATGGGGCAAAATTCACTTAGCAACTGCCTCACCTAGCCACAGAAATTTTGGGCTGCATTGCGGCCGTAAATCAAAGATTATCCGTTATCTGGTCTTTTGAAACATTCTCTGAGCAAAGCCATGCTTTGCATGCAATGTGTGAACTCCCGCAATGTGCCAAACCATAATTAAGGAAATACACACCGCCACCTTGTGGCTAAGCGGTGGAGTAGCGCTCTTTTATCATATCCTTCTATATGCCGGGGGGCCACATGGAAAATAGCTTTACGTTAGGCCCAGGGGTCAGCAACCAACGGCTCTGGAACCACATGTGGCTCTTTCATTCCTCTGCTACGGCTCCTTGTTGCCGGTCAGCTCCACAACTGGTAGGGTCTTTGGTTAGGACAGGTAGAGGAAAAAGCACGCCACGCTAGGTGGAGACTCTATGGTGGGAGAACCGGACTTTCAGTTGGCTCCAGAATTGAATGGGGGGGGGGGGCTTCCAAACTTGGTACACAGATTACTCTCTGGAAACAAATACTGTGGGGGTAAGACACCCCTAACACCCCTTGGTGTGTATGTTCTGTGTTCTGACCACCCCTCTTCACACACCAAAGCACGCCGAGACAAAGATACTTCAAGGATTTATTAACACACAGACTAGACCTTGGCAGCAATCCAGCACAGACCAGACCTTGGCAGCAATCCAGCACAGACTGACCTTGGCAGCAATCCAGCCTGCCCAAATAGCCACGATAGCCTCTCTAGCTCTAGTAATACGTTGATTCCTGCAACGAGCATGTGGAAAGTCATTCCTTTTATAGTCTTGAGAGGAGCCTAATTACCACCAGCTGAGTTCAATTATCTCCTGTAACTGCGTAACTGTTCTTTATGCCTATTAGCCCTCCGTTGCCGGGCATCCAGGACCAACTCCCTTGTCTCCTCCCCACTGCTCCAATGCATGACGTCAGGATCACACTCCCTTGTCTCCTCCCCATTGCTCCAAGGCTTGACTTCGGGAGCACGCTTCCTTTGGCTCTCACCGCTGCTCCAGGCCTCAGGCGCCTCCTGGTGGCTAATCAGCCTCTCTGCGCCCTGCTCGGAGTCGGAACCCTGTCCAGGGTCCTCTACATCTTGCAGAGCTGACTCATAGGGCCCCTCGCTGTTGGAGTTTGGTGGCAGCTCCAATGGCTCCTTCTGGGTCACAACAGTTGTTACGATACAGCCTGTTGTGCCTTAAAATGGTTTCTACCGTACTGCCATAAAATGGCTTCTACTGTACCGCACAGTGGAGTTGCCATGGTGATAGCTTCACAGTACTCCACAAGGGATCTCCCTCTGGTTAAGGGGGAACAATCCAACATTGGTCCGGACATTTTCCCCTGATAAATAAATACCTGGGCACTAGTTATAAATAAAAGCTGGCAGAGAGCTCAGGCAAATGACGCGTTTTCCCAACATCACCTCGGATCCTCTTCTCAATTTTTCGCAAATATACTTCTTAGCTAACATCCAAATTTTGTCTTGTCATTCTTTCTCGTAGTGGATTGATTCTCATCACCTATACACTAAGGGCAAAGCTAATGAATGTATCGTAGAACCAGGGGTGGGATTCAGCCGGATCGGTTCACGCGAACCGGATGTTAATTTTAATCTGGTTTGCCAAACCGGTAGTTGCAAGGACCTACCACTCTCCTCCCAGGAGTCTCCGCACAGCCCATTTTGGATGCCAAGTGCAGGACCCACACAGAGGCTCTGGGAGGGCGAAAAACAGGCCTACCGGAAGTACTGGAAGTCTGAAAATGGGCCCGTTTGTGGCCTCTGAAGTCCAGGAGAGGCCATTTTCGCCCTCCTGGAGGCTCAAGAAAGACCTCAGGAGCCTGGGGAGGGCCAAAACGCCCCACCCGCCGTGGTGCAGGAAGCCAACTAAGCCACGCACCCATGAAAGTGAGAACGCTGAAAAGACTTGCCTCCAAAAGTTTTGGGTGCTCCAGTACTGGAGGTTTTTAAGAAGAGACTGGATAGCCAGTTGTCTGATATGGTATAGAGTCTCCTACTTGAACAGGGGGGTTGACTAGAAGACCTCTATGGTCCTTTCTAACTCCTAAGATGCTGAGTAACAGCAAAAGGTTCTTTTTAGACAAAGAAGCATGAAGGCGTTATTTCC